ATCAACTTTCTGCTGGTGGCATCTGACTCAGATGATGAAAACGAACATGCGTTGGTTCACACTGCTTTGGATAGTTATCGAGCAGAACTTGTCACCAGCATGGACGCATGTCCTCTGGAATGGTGGTTGAAGCATGAAGGGACATATGAATCTTTAGAGCATCTGGCATGTAAATATCTTGTGACACCTGTTACAAAGTGCCATGAAAACACCTATTCTCACTTTCAGGTGACACTGTAAACAAGAAGCGGGCAGCATTATCTCCTGCAAATGTAAACAAACTTGTTTGTCTGAGCGATTGGCTAAAAAAGACATAGGACTGGGAGGACTCGCAGGCTCTGAAGTTTTCCATTGTTTTATTTTTGAATGTAGTTAGTTTTTGTACATAATTCTACATTTGTAAGTTCAACTTTCATGATAAAGAGATTGCACTACAGTACTTGTATTAGGTGAATTGAAAAGTACTATTTCTTTTGGGGTTTTTTTACAGTGCAAATACTTGTAATAAAAAGAAAAGGAGTACTTGTGGCACCTTAGAGACTAACCAATTTATTTGAGCATGAGCTTTCGTGAGCTACAGCTCACTTCATCGGATGCATACTGTGGAAACTGCAGAAGACATTATATACACACAGAGACCATGAAACAATACCTCCTCCCACCCCACTGTCCTGCTGGTAATAGCTTATCTAAAGTGATCATCAAGTTGAGCCATTTCCAGCACAAATCCAGGTTTTCTCACCCTCCGCCCCGCCCCCATACAAACTACTCTCCTGCTGGTAATAGCCCATCCAAAGTGACCACTCTCTTCACAATGTGTATGATAATCAAGGTGGGCCATTTCCTGCATAAATCCAGGTTCTCTCACTACCTCACCCCCCTCCAAAAACCACACACACAAACTCACTCTCCTGCTGGTAATAGCTTATCCAAAGTGACCACTCTCCCTACAATGTGCATGATAATCAAGGTGGGCCATTTCCAGCACAAATCCAGGTTTTCTCACCCCCCCCCCACCTTGATTATCATACACATTGTGAAGAGAGTGGTCACTTTGGATGGGCTATTACCAGCAGGAGAGTGAGTTTGTGTGTGGGGGGGGGCGGAGGGTGAGAAAACCTGGATTTGTGCTGGAAATGGCCCAACTTGATGATCACGTTAGATAAGCTATTACCAGCAGGAGAGTGGGGTGGGAGGAGGTATTGTTTCATGGTCTCTGTGTGTATATAATGTCTTCTGAAGTTTCCACGGTATGCATCCGATGAAGTGAGCTGTAGCTCATGAAAGCTCATGCTCATATAAATGGGTTATTCTCTAAGGTGCCACAAGTACTCCTTTTCTTTTTGTGAATACAGACTAACACGGCTGTTACTCCGAAACTTGTACTAAAAAATAAATATAAAGTGAGCACTGTGCACTTTGTTAGAATTGAAATCGATACATTTGAAAATGTAGTAAACATCCAAAAATATTTAAATAAATTATATTCTATTATTGTTTAACGGTGCGATTAATCACGATTAATTTTTTAATAGTGCGATTAATAGCGTTTAAATTTTTTAATTGCTTGACAGCCCTAGTTTTTACTTTTTTATTCTGGTGGGTGACTTCCAAAGTTCATCTCTTATCTGCTTCTTCAAGTGAGGTTTTTTTTTCGTATTTTCACTCTAGTTTTTCATGTCATTTATATTTTTACACTCTATTTGTTTCAGTAATCTCAGTAAACCCTATTCTATATTTTTAAAAATAAAAGTCTACATTGAAATGCAAATGAAGAATCATTCATACATCCAGATAAACAAGGAACCATACAGTGTGTGAAAAAATACATAAGGTTTCCCAGAAAAAGTGGGCACCATTTCATTTGCCACCCATACTGTATGTATGTAATCCTACTAGAAATTAAGTTCTGGACAAAGAGTAAAGAAAAAATATAGCAAAGGACTACTGTATTAGCCATAACAAATTAGGATTCAGCTTTTGTTTTACCAAAAGGGGCAGGTGAGGAAGTGAACAGGAATATGTATTTGCTCTTCAGAACAGATAACTAATGCTCTTCATATTGTGGTCTAGCATACCTGAAATTCAGGGATGTTGCATGTATAAGTTGGAATAGGAAATACAAATAAATGTAAAAAATGTGTCTAATTTCTTCATAAAGCCTGTGTTTATAGCATTATGTTCAAGAGACTTTTAAAGTCTGTATTTTCCAACTAGATTGTGAAATGTTTTCTTATGGATCAAATTCAGTGAAATGTAGAATAAACCTCCCCTTTCAATCTTTGACTATGCAAAAGCAAATTTAGAAAGTGGGTATCAGGAATTTGCACTATTGTACTAATTGGATTTACTTCTAAATCTGACTACTGAATACCACCATTCATACTCTAAAGGTTTATGAAGTAAAATATGATAGGAAGAATTTTTCTCATAGAACAAGTATGTTCAGGTTAAATAATAAAAGTAAACATGTAAAAACCCAAATAGTTCAATATCCTTAAAATGCATTTATATAGACAACAAAACCAACACATTAACACGTTATTTGGAGTTTTATAAATGTTAAGTGCTATTTATAACTAGATTAATTATCGTGTTAAGACAAATAATTTCTGAAAAAAAGATGTTTTAAATAGTTGGAGGTTGTGAAACTTCTTTGTTTTTCTAATTATGTATGATAAAGGCAAAGGTTATATCCAAGGTGCCCTCTTGTGGCTCAACCCAGGGAAACTCAACTGAGCTTATGTCATATAATATATAATAATGTATTGTTATGAGACTTCTGCAGTAACAAAACAATGTCAATCACTTCATGGACTAACACTTTCTTCTTTGTCAGGTTCCTAATTTTACTTTAAGATCATATTTCTGTGTCCATTTTTTAAAGTGTGAGTAACAAATAAGATAATATGGCAACTGTGAATGTATCTGAAAGTGTCTAGTGGCACTGACGCTTTAACCGTACTGGGCCTTTTAGGATAAATACAAGCGGCATGGATTTATCATCACTCTTTTGTAAGATCCCTTCACCAGCTCACATGGCTGCAGATCTTATGTTTGCAATGACATTAAATCTTCCAAGATTAAACATAAACCTGAATTTGGATAGCTAGCTAAGGATGAAAAAGCAAATACCTATTCAGCTATTTTGCTTTAAAATACAATTACTTATAATTTGTATGTCTATGTATACTCTAATCAAGAGCAAAATAGACTGTATAGAGCCTGGCTTCTGATGTGAGAGTTAAACCTACATCCTTATGGCCCAGAATCAAGAAGGACGTCTACACACACCGTTTGCTAATTGTAGTCCATTGACCACTGGTTGTCTGCAGAGATGTTGCTGGTTGCCCATAGGGAGATAACAGATCACTTATTGCTGGTTCCTACTTGCAAAGAAAAGGCTGAACAACCATAGAAGTAACCAAAAATGAGGCAGAGCCATCCTAGGTGCTCTAACTGCTACCACTATGTAACAGTAGGAGAGGAAACAGGAACTGCATTCAGGGACTGCAGCAATCAGTAGGATTGGAGCCGTCAGCCTACAGCAAGAACTACCATCAGGAGAGGAGCCAGGGCTTCCAAAATGACTAGTGTAAGAGGAACATTCAGGGGACCAGGCATGAAGAGAACTAGGCAGCATGTGCAAGTGAGTGGAGGGTAATGGGTGGGGCCAGCCCTAGACATTTTCCCTGCCAGACTGGAAAATGTTTTTGGTGTGTTGGAGCAAAACAAAACAAAACAAACAAAAAACAGAATAAAGAAAGAGACATCCTTCACAGGCAGTCAATCAGTGGAGAGGGAAAAAACCCAAATGAAAAATGGCCAAGTCCGACACTGCTACTGCTTCCTTGCTTGCCCCTAAAACTGGTCTTGATAATGCAACCAAAATGGCAGAGGAGCATGCACATGAGATCAAGCAAAGAGAATGGAAGAAGGGAATGAAACAAAGAGGAAAATTAAGTAGCGTCATTAACTTTTCTCAAACGGAACATCAAGCCCTGCATAGCAAATAAATAGAGGAAATGATTTAAAATATTTTGCTTTAAATTATAAATATATTTGAAGTGTACACGTACACACACACAATACTAAAGGCCATTCGTTTTCAGTTTTTATTTTGTTTAAAATTTCCTGGGAACATGTCAGTGTTTGTTACAAATTTTTTAAAATAGCTGAAAGATCAGTGGAAAAATTAACTTTATAGTTTTCTGGGTAAATATTGGGGTTAATATTAGGATATGGAAGGACAGAAAAAAGCAACAAATAGAGAAAAGTAAGAGTATTAAAAGTAAAAGCAGTTTAATGCTGTGGTTTATTTAGTGAACTGTACATTAACAATATGTACATATATGCACACACAGGAGTGTGTGTGTATGTATATCTTCCACTACATTGCCTTATTTTAATAGACAGCCTCACATTTACACTTAGACTAAATTATGATTAACATAAACACATCTATAATCTAATGTGTTGGATTTTTTGTAACAATCAATATTTCTATGTATCTGGGTGGACCAAAATTTGTGTGAAAATCAGTAAGAACCAAATAATAGCATTTCTAAAACCTGGGAATTCTTCAGTAAAAACAAAAAGGGCCTTAATATTACTGTTGGTATGGACTGTTAAACATTTGTGTGATGTGAAGCATGCTCATTCTTTTATGCCTTACATTTTCACCAAAGTTACATCTTCTTTCAATACTTTGTTTTTGAACTTTTATTTTAAATATGCACAAACATGTTAGGATGAAGGAATGCAAGTTGTCCTTTGTAAAAACAGCAACGTGTAGATGGTGCACAATGGTTTGACAATTCACTTATAAACAAAACAGAAAATCCATCTATTATACACTAACATAATAACAATTCTTGTTTTCATATATTCACGTTTTGTTGGCAGTTTCTATTTAACAGAATGTAAATCACTGTTTTTTTAAAACACAGAAACATGAACACACTCAATAAAGAGAATGTTATTATGAAAAAAATGTGTACCTTTTTGGCTTTTGTTTTCTTTTCATAAGACTCTGATAAGCGTTTTCTTTTTTCCTGAACTGCATCTTTGGAAAATAAATATTCAAATTCACTAGTATCAACTATGTCAGGTTCTTCTAATGAGTCCCATAAAGTTGGTACAGATATTTTGCTGAAAACAAATAAATAAAATTAAAATTTCACAACAAATATTTACAAAAATATATTTTCTGTGTTAGATTTTAAAACCAGAACAGCAGCTGAGTACAGCCAAAGGACAAATAACTTTCCCTCTTTTCTCTACTAGACTGGGTAAAGTGTCAAAAGAAATTACAGAAGGCAGCACTAAAAAGTACTACAACACTTAAGTACTTATTTAAATTATTCAAGCCTACTGGTGATCAAAAATTACTATTTATTATTTGTACTGCACTAGAATGTTGGGTCACCAATCAAAGATCAGGATAATACCTTGTGAAAACAGGCTTTCAAGAGAATTCTCATTTCAGTTAGGGTATGTTTACTGCAGCTGGGAGGGTGCTTGACAGCTTGGATAGACAGATGTGTGCTAACTCTATTTAACTTACCATCATAAAAATAAAAGTGTAGCGGGGGGTAGCATAGGCAGTAGCTCAGGCTAGACACCTGAGTACAAACCTTCCTGGTCTCCCTGGTTACATACTTGGGCAATTAGCCCAAGCCACTCCCTATGGTACCCCCAGCTACACTGCTATTTTTAGCACACTAGGTCAAGCAGAGCAAGCATGTGTCTGTCTACCTATGCTGGGAAGCATGTTCCCAGATGCTGTGTAGACATACCCTTATATGAATGGAAATATTGCAACGGCAGCCTTGTGTTATTCTGGTTCATCGGCTTAGAACAAGGGAATGCACTATGCAAATGAAAAGTAATAAAAATAGTTGGCCAAACTTTTCTGAACCTCAAGGAAAAAAGTTTGGATTGAGTTTTGTGTTATTTATCTTATCAGTGAGATTCAGTTCACTTCAGATGAAATGAAAATGGCTACGTGCTTTCTATTCACTATTACTACTAGTTTGAGGAACTGGAATGGGTGTCTATTAGCATTCTGAACTGCTTAATACACAGTAAATTTTAAAGAGGGAAGATAGTTTTGCTATCCTGCATCCTCCAAGAATGATTTGGTGCGTGCAGAACTCACCCTCATTAGTGTTTAAACATATGGATGTGTGAGTACAACTCTCCTGGCTTTATCCAAAGTTTGGGAAATCAAATACATAGTGCAACAAATGGAGCACTTCAGTACTGAATTGCTTTAGTTCTGAAACTGCAATACTTAGGGAAGGAAGTAAGTGGGATAATATTATCCTCAGACTATTCTTAACTTCTATTGATAAGCTTGAAATTCTGAGTCCATTTCTTCCAGCAGGTGTCACTAACAGGCAATGGTATTATTAACTGTCATGAAATGGGTAGAATTGCAGTGGGGAAAAAAAACTGTAAATACGTACATGGCTGCTGTCACCAAATGATTACTCTGATTAGGTGCAATATGTAACAGAATTTAATATGTATCCGTGCATGAAGGAAGGGGGAGGAATAAGCTAAAAGAATGCAAATTATTATTTTCTATCCATTTGGGATTCATTTACCCTGCCATTGAGTTTCCAGTGGGATTGCCAGTACTTTTGTGATTGGATATCTTTCTAAAAGATACAGTGTAGCTCAAACAGAAGTTATGGGCTTGATGCAGAAATCACTGGATGAGGTTCTATGGCCTGTGCATGGAGAAGGTCAGACTAGATGATCACAAAGGCACTAACATCTATTTCTCATTTAACATCTGTAGTCTGGTGGCACCTTAAAGACTAAAGATCATTCATGTGATTTTAAAATTAATAAAACCAAAATATTTTAAACGTAAATATATTTTTGTCTAATGTGTACTTCAGAAATAAACCTTTTATTTTAAGGTATAAATCAAAGATTAGAGAGTATCCTGTCTGTGTAATTGCACTGATATCCCTACATGCCTGCTCCAAAATCATGCCTGCACTGATATGCACACATGCCTGCATAGATTTTTAAGGCCAGAAGGAACTACAGTGATCATCTAATTTCACCTCCTGCATAACACAACCATGTAATTTCACCTTAATTGCTGCAACTTCGGGTTGTGCTAGAAATACTTTGTTCCGAATCAGAAGGGAATCCTCCTTTTAGCTAAGTCACTTAGAGTTCTTTGCTACTGTAATTAACCACAAGAAATGTCAGAGAACATAGCAGAACTCGAGAGAAATCTTCAGAAAATGAACTCTGAAAAGCAGAATTGTCAGTGTCTCTCTGTCTTTTCACCAAGCAGTGCTGTAAGCAGAGCTGGTCAGGAAAATGCCAATTCATCAAACCTAATTTTTTTCATGGAAACATGTCAGGTTTGATGAACTTTTGACAAAACCACCTGGCAGGCTGCTGGCAACCCCAGACTTCCAGGATCTGAGAGGCCAGTCTCACCAGGCAGATTGCCGTGGAGTTGTAGCCCTATGTGGACTGCCCCAGGGCTTCCAAACTCCCAGGCCAGTTGGCAGCCCAGAGAGCCTTCAAACAATTATGCATATACTTAACTGTACTCCCTTGGACTCCCACAGAACCATTCACAGAAGTTAAACATATATAACTAGTTGCAGGATTGGGACCATAGAGGACAAAATACTCCCTGCCCTAAAGATCCTGCAATCTAAAATGACAAGACAGGCAACCAATAATACACAAACTCTTTGAAGCAATATTGGATACACAGCCTCAGCTTTTTATTTTACCCTGTGCCTATTTGCTATATTTGTCAATGTTGCCTATGAACTACTACTTTTAAACTTTTAAAAATTTTAGTTATATTTTTCCATTTTAAAACCCATTGCTTATTATCTATTGTTGTGCTTTTTAAAGCTTGGGCTATCTTCTGATTTTTTAGAAAACTTTTTTCCTTTCATATTCCTTTTTTGTTTTTTGGGCTCTATCTTTAACTCTTCTTGTCTTTTTTTTTAAAAAAACAAACCTTAAATACTGTACATGCTCATCCTCATGATATATAAATTATACCTATAAATCCAAATAAAATAACTTTTTACCTGCTTTCTTTGATTTGTATCCTAGTCCAGTACAAAGGCTTCATGGGACAGTTAGGTTCAATGGCAGGTTTTCGAGGACCTTGGTTTGAAGACTGAGTGCTATTGAAAAAGAACCCAGGTGGTGGCGGTGGAAGAGGAGGCCCATTTCCCGGTAGAGGTGGCCCACAGCCAGGCAGGGGTGGTGGACCGGGAGGCCCAAAACCTGGGGGGGGTGGTGGTGGTGGTGGTGGTGGCGGCGGCAGTGGCGGAAGATTTCCACAACCTGAAGGAAATGGCTGTGGCCCAGATCCAAACTGGGATGTCAATGGAGTGGATGCCAAACCTGTTAACAAGGGAGGTGGTGGAGGAACTAAAGCTGGTAGTGAAGGTTCAGGAAGAGGAGGTGGTGGGGGTGGTGTTAGAGATACTAACACTGGTTTCTGTTCACAAGATAAGAGACTTTCTGAAGTCTGTGCACAGTGACATGGTTCCTTATTCTCACTTGGGGCAGAAATACTGTGATTTAAAGTAGAAATATTAAGCTTTTTAGGTACCATTTGGCTATTCTTCACACGTATATTTTCCTCTTTACTAGGCTTTATGAAGGTTTCTCTGTCAGTTTGTATATATACATTTCTGTACGTCTTTGGTGGATTATCATCTTCAGTGGATACACAGACGTCCTTTGTTTTCTCATTTCTTCTATTTAATTTGTTTTCCAGTTCATTCTTGAGATTTGCAATGGTTTCCTCAAGCTTTGTGTTTGATACAGCATGCTCTCCACGAATATGAAAGATCTGGAGTTCAAACTGAGACTGTGGAAAAACAACAAAAAACACCATGTAAAAACTGTGTATAATTAGGTATTAGATAAGGATGTGACACACTTTATGCAGATATACTGCATACTAAAAGGGAGAAGAATTTTACAGGTCTCTGAGTTCCAAAATTCTTTTGTTCATCTATGAAAATTCCTAGATTTAATTAAATTTAGGAAATGTAAAGGATTTTTCTTCTGTGAAGCACATTTAATGAATAATTACTCAGAATATGTCAAAAATACAGTTTGCTAATTAAGGTCTAGATTGTAACTTGCCTTAATGCAAACATGTGAGACCGCCTCTCGCAGCCCTAAGCAGCATCAGTGCTTTCAGACTCTTGTATCCAGAACCAGGTTCAGGCAGGAGCACAGTATTTGAACACCAGATGCTCCTTCCTGGGAACAAATAGGTGGGGAAAGGAAAGCACCAGTGCTCCACCTTCCCTATGTGCTATCTCGCAGAGCTGGCGGGGTATATAGAGGGAAGAAACCTGCAACCTTTCAAGGGCTGAAGTAAATTACCTCCTTTCACCTTCCCTCCACCAGAGCAAGGGAGGATACGTGGATCCAAGTAATTCAGTCTAACTGTAAATGATTTACCTGCTGCATTAAGAAAAAAATCCTTTGCCTATCCAAAACTTTAGATTCCTTTCTGCATTTCATTCTTTTTAATGGGTGGTTTTGAATTGGCCTTTTTTTTTTTATTTTTCACTTTCATCCATTTGTATTGACTATACATTGTCATTAACATCTATTTCAGCTGGTTTTCTTTTATGTTCACTAGTATTAATTTTTTGTTCATTGTTTGCTTGTTTGTTGGTTTTATTCTTTGCTGGTTTTATGATAAAATCAGTACTGTACTTTTGGACATTATTCAACAATTTTTTAATATTAAAGAATTAAAATTATTCAATTTATACTATTTACGTTTCATTAGAAATATCTGGTTAAAATGGTTTCATATTTCACGTCACATGCATTGTATTTAGTGCTAACTCTCACAGATACACAATATATGCTTAATATACTGAGAAATTAGAGAACAATTTGAACATTATACAACCTCTCAAAAAACTCCGCTTTCCTAAACTCTTTACAGGAAAATTAAAATTCCTTCTCTCTTAAAAAGCAATACTAGAGTATTAAAAGTACTCCCCATGAACAATTGCTCTCTCACAAACATAAAACCCCCACCTTCATGAGTACAATTTTTATTTAAAGATTTAAAATGCCATATTTTTTCAAAAGGCAATTTAACCTACAGCTAGTAAAATCAACCTTTGGACCAAAGAGGGTATTAAAGAGATTTTGTTGTGATAAGTACAAATGACAGGCATTTTTAAAAAATCTAAACAATGAAGAAAAACTAGAATTTCATATTACAAAACTTTGTTTTTTATGCTATGAAATTAAATAGATGTAGAGTGCTGCAAACACTCTAAGGCAGTCACCTGTATTATAGTAATGAATGTGATAAAAAATACAAAATGTGTGACCATTCAAACATCTCTGCGAAGTAATCGGATAGTGATGAGCTTAACAAAAAACGACACCATCAAAACCACTTCAGCTCCCTGTCACTAGTGAAAGGCTCAGACAAATAAAAAAGGAACATTATTGATCGACAGGGGAGACACTTAAATTGGCTATGTATCAAGTGCTGTCAAAAGTGAAAGAAAGGACAGGTTTTGAGTAAATGTTCCTTTTCTCTGTAAAAATGTATAAAGCCAGGGAAAGTGAACTAAGAACTTAACACTGCAAACACTAGCAAACTTTGCTTTTTACTGTAAGTAATCCAATTTTGTCAGTTTTTAGAACTACACTAAGTAGTATAAATATTTGTAAGATCAGGCCCTTGGATAAAAATGTCTCTAAAGTTTCACATCCTATGATACTGTACACTTTTTGGTCCTCTCAAATATAGTCATCAGCACACTGAAAGACATTTAAAAACAACAGGTTTCAGAGTAACAGCCGTGTTAGTCTGTATTCACAAAAAGAAAAGGAGTACTTGTGGCACCTTAGAGACTAACCAATTTATTTGAGCATAAGCTTTCGTGAGCTTTATTTGAGCATAAGCTTTCGTGAGCTTCATCAGTGCATCTGATGAAGTGAGCTGTAGATCACGAAAGCTTATGCTCAAATAAATTGGTTAGTCTCTAAGGTGCCACAAGTACTCCTTTTCTTTTTAAAAACAACAGACCACTTCAAGCTCTGTTTTTCCCCTACTGTACAGCTTCTCTACCAAAGCTTATTGTGATTTATTTTAGTTACCAGTTCAAATGAACACTCCCCCCCACAAACTCAAGGACACTGATCTGTAAATGATGTAATATCTTTGAACAATGCTGTGGATTTATCTCTAAAGAATTCAGCAATTTTATGTTTTATCATAGTATTTTTCCCTACTGTTTTAACATAAAAACCTTCCCAACAGAACAAAATGGGAGAATAAAACTATTTGCTTTTCAAAGTGAAAGCTTTTCCTACTGTACAACTGGAGCAGTGTCCTTAAAAAACAAACAAACAAAACTTCTAAGACAAGCAGAGTAAATTGTCAAAACTACTTGATGGATTTAATTAGGTACCAAACCAATTGTGATAGCAGTGTGTGTAAGAGAGAGAGACTCAAAGAAAACTCTCTCTTAGGTGGTAATTTTATGCTTTGTCTTTGGCTTTTTTATTAGTTTATATGGTTTTTTAAAAATAACTTTCCACTGTAAGAAACAGAATTTTTTTTTTCAGCTGAGTATGATTTGTTGTATTTTTGTCTGGATTTTTAAGGTCAAACTGTAAGGAACAGAATTTTCAAAACTTCATTTTTTGCTAAATATTTTACTATAGAGATATCTTACACTGAGATTAAACATTTATTATCAGGCTAAATCACACAGGACAAAAGAAAATTAGCTCCAACAATATTACATACTGGAAATCTGACCTGCAGAGGATCTAGTCAATAGGGAAATAAGAAAAAGAGTGTCCTTTTATAACAATGAGGAGTCCAGTGCATCTGAAGAAGTGGGTTTTTTACCCACAAAAGCTTATGCCCAAATAAATCTGTTAGTCTTTAAGGTGCCACCGGACTCCTTGTTGTTTTTGTGAATACAGACTAACACGGCTACCCCCGATACTTTAGAATGATGAACTGCATTTCAAGAGAGTAATAAACAACATTATCCAAAAAAGAAGTTTTCCTTGGTATTTACCTATGTCCATACTACCAACATCCCAGAAAAATATTGTTAACTGTTAACTGAAAAACTGTTAAAAAACATCATTACAAACAATTTTATTTTAGATAACTTCATATACAATACTATGTTACCATTTTCAGCAAAGCAAATTTAAAAAGTGGTTTTCAAATCCATTTGACAGAGGAAGCATATGAGTGTCTAGGTGACTTCTACACCTGCTTCAGATGCCAGCTAAACATGAAATAAAAGATGAAAATCCTAATTTGAAATATTCTGCAAACCAAATAGGTGTGAAAATTTAGTGACATCAAATACTGGATATTTAAGTCCATGTTATTGTTAATAACATTATATTTACAGTCAATTTTTAATGTGAAGAAAATAGTATTCTTTCTTTTACCTATACCAAGTGACAAAATATTATACTTTGACACATCCCTAATTCTATAGCTTTATAAACAAAATACAAAATGAAATTATGAACATTATTTTCAAATTGCCATAATTTATTAGGGGCTGCAAACATTTGCTTTACAAGGATTTACTTAGCCAGATATCTGTATAACATATAGAGTATTTCCCAACAAGCGTCCCAAATATATTGTTGTGGAGAATGAAGGAAATAGCTATTTTTAAAATAAATATCAGGTGAACCTCAGTTTGCCTGTGTGATGTTATCCTACCTAGCTTCACAGAGTTAAATTAAAAAAAAAAAGAGCTGAAAGAAGGAATTAACAGGAAACAAATTAATGACAGAAATAAGGATACCAAAGGCCCTTGAAGGAACAACATTGCTAACAAGGTTTCTTTTCCCAAGCCAAACCTAGGATCATATACTAAAAACTTAAAGATGCTGGGGCTAAGCAGAAGGGAAGCATCATGCTGACAGACAAACACACAGAGAATCACAGAGAGCACACTGCAGAAGGCAGTCTGTCATTCCCAGCCAGAAAGGGCATGTACTGGGCTGAGGGAAGGTTACAAAAGCTGCAGAGGAAAGATTAAGGTGCAGGTAAGACTCATGCATTTAATCCTTCTGCTGTTTTCCCCCTTTGCTCTGTATGCTATGTTCCTGTGGGTGAAGGAATAAATAATACTTTGTTTTGAAAAAGTGTTTTTCGTGTCACTAATCAGCCTCCCAGAGTAAAAGGGCTTAAAGGTGTCAAACTCTGTTGGGCCTATTGTGTTAATACAGTTGGGAAACAGTGGGGGCTGTCGTGCAGAGATCCAGTCCCAAAGTAGCTGGACCATGGAGTCTCTCCCAAAATGACAGGTGCAAGACGACAGGCTTGTCACCAGAGGGGTGCACTCGAGAGGGACAAAAAACAGGTGCAAAACACAGCTCGCCCTGTAAGAATGACAAGTGTACATTAACATATACGTGAAGTCTAATTGGCCACACATTTGATCTAACATGGCTGGATTTAGTTCATATAAAGTTAATAGTGACAAGCCTAAACTTGATACTTAAAGTGGTATTTAAAGCAACAACACAGGAAAAGAATTTGTGAGAAGAAGCCAAGAACAGTACGATCTCATGACAAAGAAGTAAAAAAACCTCTAGAACTATCTTCTCATTTTGACCTCTCTGATATCTCCAATGATGGCCTGAAAAGTGTAGGCTGTTGGCATCACTGCCCATTATGTATAAAAACTTTCTGACAAAATCTATATGACTGCCTTCAAGAGTGACTCTACACACTGGAACCAGAGCAGAGTGAAGTATTTTTTCTTGCTTTGTCCACAGTAAACATGTGCTTAAAAAAAAGTGGAAAAACTGATGTTGATACGAACCTTG